GGGTATAAGATATATTTGAAAAAAAAAATTGCAACGAAATAAGAGTATTGCTTATTGATATGGATCGGGGCAGGATCGGACTCTGTGTTTCCTTCATTCCTTCATTCTCTCTTTCTTTTAACTTTGTGGTTAATCTGTACAGACATAACGGGGAGACGAGATATTTATCTATTTCTGTATCAATTCATTGCATTGATCAACACTAAAATAAACACACCTTGAAACATATTATCGACACTATAAAATGAGACATTCACTATTAAATTATTAGAGTTGAGTTGCATGCAATCATACACCGGTAGAGTATCTCATAATCTATCTGAAATGAAATCTAAAATCATAAAATTAAACATCTCTTTCCTAAAACGTATTCGTTTTTTCATATAAACATATACATGCGACTCAAGCAGTTAGAAATATAATAATCAGTCTCACTATATTAATTCTATTCATGTCACAAAATGGTGTTATTAAGATCACATGTATAAATTTAACAGGAAATATTTAGAAAATTTGAAATTACTTTTCAAAAATGTTAGTTATTCAATTTTGTTAAACATAACAGTATCAATTATATAACAATGCTGGAGAAGAACCTTCAGTTAAATTAGATACTCAAATACTATGAAATTCAAAAAGTATATGGATTGTATATGATTCGAAGTCCTTTCAATTACTTGATTAACTCACAGATAGTCTGTTTTGGACAAGCTAGATATTTTTCCAGATATAGTTCTCTGACCAATCTTATGAAGGATAGACGAGTAGGTTGTCATTAATCAATTCAAAAATTAAATAGATAAATAAAAGGAATTACATTACATCAATTCAGAGACGTATATATTACATATTACGTAATATATACGTATTTGATCATCCGAAAGCTAAATACTAAATGACATGAAAACTTGTTGTCTAATTCCGTGTTCAAACTTGATTCGACTCCCAGAGATACTGTATACATACACTTTTAATAACCATGAGTTTGTGACACTAATTAGGAAATAACAGAAATCTGTTATCTGGAGTACGGCTCCATTCTGGACTCGGGCAAATATCCCGGGTCTGTGCCCCCGGGCACTTAACAATCCAAGTTCCTGAAGGTACACTAATGAGGTGTATACTGGTACCGAATCTAAATCACAGCTACAGGTATATATATATATATTGGTTATGCAATGACGACGAAAACGGAGATAAATTTTGAATAGAATAGAGGATTTTCCCAAAAATTACTTAGTCAACTAAATTAGAACAGATGTTTAAATAATTTTATTATGCAATGAATGTTATAAACGTATTTACGTACATAGTTATAACAACTATCGATATACATGTTTATAATATGTATAAATATAGATTTGTTCCAATATATACTAAAGATACATGCTTGTGAAAAGTAAATCTACTCATACTAAATACTCGTCGAATTTATTTAATCAAATTTAAGTCTTGAAAAACATCAAGTTATATGAATGCATAACCACGGACTTTATCCAATTCCGTGTACAATATCTAATTTTAATTATAAAACATTATATCAACATGTATGTAAGTCCCAGGTATTGTTTATTTAGGTGGATTACAATGTTATAACAGCTTTTTCTCAGAAGTTAATTTAATAAATTGGTTTAGTGATAAAGATACTAAAAATTGTGCAACTGACTGCGATGAGCAACGTTTTACTTTTACGGGAGAAGGTTTTGAAAAGTTTTAACAATTTGTGACCACTACCTTGTACTATATGGTATAAAATGTACATATATGTCTATTGTCGCTATCACATTGTTGTAGTACAATTGTTGAGGAGAGGGCTTTAATAAGTTGTAATAACTTGTGCCCAATCCTCTTGTTTGAATTTAGAAGCAATACAATATGTTTTAATTAAAATGAAATATGTTGAACGAAAAAAGAATCTCAACGATTCCCAACCACTTGTACAGACCAAATCCCGCCTGATATTGAAAGCGAAGTTGATTGGCACACGAGACGTCTCTGACGAGACAGAGCTTACCAGACACATAGGAAATGTTCAAAGGAAATGTGTTCTATTTTGATGCACGTTCATATAAGACCAGAGAATACAAATTTGAAACGTTTTATTGTGGAAAAACGTCTGCGTTGCTGTCCGGTGATATACCATTGAATAATCTGTTCTTGACGTTTTACAGTTTTGAGTTTAGCTGGTGAATTCATTTTCTCAGCTTCATCAGACAAGATAATCATATATGTGTAATTAACCAATCTAAATTGTTCACTCGGCACGCGACGCCAATATTCAAAAGCCAACAAATTAACCATTTAGCTTATGTTATTACAAAGTGTAATCTTAATGACATAGAAGACGAGTGTTATTTTGTTTTAGTTTGCACAAGATATACAGATTTACGACGGAAGTATTTAAAATGTTACTATAGAAATAACCCTAGTGTATATAAGCTTGTTCAATTAGTTAATACACAGAATATTAAAGAATTATGTTATCTTGGAAAGTATCGCAAATAAGCGCCGATCAGATATATGACAGTTTGTATGTGTGTATTGTTCATTCTCCTGTGACCAATGTGGCTTTTTGTACATATGTAAATATCCTGTTTAATATATGTTTACACTGATAAGTCGCAAGACTTAAAGTTAATAAAGAACTAGAACATATGTGTTCACAGGAGGGCGGGGTCACTGATAAGGTGGGGTACTTACCTGTAACGATGATTGGCTTGTGTCGCAAGGTGATTGATGGCTAAGAAATTTGCTGACAGAGTCATCAATGTACGTTTTTGTTAGAACAAGAAGTCTATTGTCTACTATTACGGAATTAGATAATCGGTTTTGACCACACCGGCCTTTGAAAATTGAAACTTAAAGCGTTTCACCGTTTTTCTTTCTACGATACATATACAATTAATATACAGCATTGTTTTTCTATAACAGATAAGGCCTATGTGGCCAAACAATCCAACATATGGACTTCAATATTTATTTACGTAAAACACGTGGACTACACATCCCTGTATTTACATATAGAATAATATTTAATTTTCAGACTGATGTCACTTTTTTGAGTTGGAAAATTGCGTATTTTCTTTGAAAGATACTTAGAAGTTTCATTTGATTGAACTGTTAACCGTCTGCACATCAATAAGTACAAGAACAAAGGATTAATATAATCTTAATGATTATTTTTTTAAGATCGTAGACGTGATTGGATGGTAATCTACACATTAACACCAATTCATTCACTCAAAATATATTCATGCTATTTATTAAGAGTTGAGTATAAGTTATGAAGTTATTAAAATTTGGTTATCATAATGTCATTTCCAATGTTTCATGTGTTATGACATCCCAATAACAATGTCATATATATAAATGAGAAAATAACCCAGATACATATTTATTATATATGTAATATATAATTCTTTGAACAACCTTTTTTGATAGAATAAACCAGAGACATATATTGGAACCTCGGCCTGGCAATTTATAAATATATATAATTTAGTCCGATCCTGCCCCGTTCCTGTAATTGCAATTCTTTTATCAAATATATCTTATACCCGATAAAAAAAAAACATGATACTAGAAATGTAGGTATCATAAGTAATATTGACATAAATGTATTTATATAATTCAGTCCGATTCTGCCCCGATCATGTAATTGCATGATAAAAGGATAATTAAAAATATACAATAAATATATATAAATAAGTCCGATCCTCCCCCGTTTCTGTCCGTTCCTGTAAATCGTCGCCCGTTCCTGCCCGATCCATATCAATACAATACTCTTATTTCGATGCAATCTTTTTATCAAATATATCTTATACCCGATAAAAATTATATAATAATATCAATATAGGTATCGTAAGTAATGACGACATAAATATATATATATATATTTCAGTCCGATTATGCTCCGATCATGTAATTGCAAATCTTTTATCAAATATACCTTATACCCGAAAAAGATAATTAAATATATACAATAAATATATATAAATAAGTCCGATCCTCCCCCGTTTCTGTCCGTTCCTGTAAATCGTCGCCCGTTTCTGTCCGTTCCTGTAAATCGTCGCCCGTTCCTGCCCGATCCATATCAATTCAATACTCTTAATTCCTTGCAATTCTTTTATCAAATATATCTTATATATGATACTATAAATGTAGGTATCATAAGTAATATCGCCCCCATCATGTAATTGCAATCCTTTTATCAAATATATCTTATACCCGATAATGATACTTAAATGTATCTAATATATATATATTCATTAATGTATATAATAATTAATAGATTGCAGCCCGTTCCTGCCCGTTCCTGCCCGTTCCTGTAAATCGTCTAACCGGGATTTTTCATGATATGCTTTGGTGACGGGATTATGTAAATGTATTTTGTATACGAATATGAAAATTGTATGTAACTGAATAAATACCATCCTTGTACTTGATATCAACGTATCGAACTCTTAATTTCTGGTACCAAATAACGGCTTTCCATACAAGAAGGCACACTTTTATCACAACGTAGAAATTGAACTCTCACATGGCTTACAATATAGATGAAAACTAATTATACTATGCAATAAAACTTAAGTTAGCTGTGTCAAATTTTATTTTCGATCGGCAATCTTTGTCGAAGAGGACTTCAATATTATAAGTTGACAAAACTTGTGTCCAATTCGTTTGCAACATTTGTTATTAACGCGGCAAACTTTTAACTTGTATTACATCTATTTAATCTTTTAGAAATTAAAATTAATTTTTGAATATATCAAATATGAAATTATTAATTTGTCATGAAACGGTTCGGAAAAATGTTATTTTTATTACTTGATTAATATCGTTTTCGATTAAAGATGGCCGCGGTGTGAATCAAAAAGTATTGTTATCTAACAAACTTTTCAACAGTCCCGCGTATGTTAGGCGCAACTAATCGATAACCGTCGAAAGTCGCTGAGCAGACAAGACTGGACGATAAACTTGTACCATAAACAGGAAGTTGATCAAACATCAAAACTTGTTTACAGAAGCGGAGCTGAAGTGTTGAGATAAGATTCATCGTTTGCCTACGACTGTTTTACACCGGCAAAAACTGTGATGGCGGCGTATCCAGCTGCCCAAGGAAATTTCCAAGCGGGAACGGCAGTAGTTCCAGCATCGCAAGTAGAAATAACTGTATCATGCAGGTGAGCATGGGTCGGGAGTGTGAGTCTGAGAGTCAGAGTGTGTATTCAGTACACAGAACGGAAACATCAATTCCCAACATGTCATGTTACATATTTAGATATTAGACATTGCTAAGCTGTGTGAACTGCAACCCAAACTGTCTAAGATACAATAAACATATACTAAATAGCAAAGTAAGGAAATAGGTTGTCCTGTATTTTGTTGCATGGGCACACCCATTAGTTGAAGAAAACTATTCATTCTTAATTCAATGAATATAATTGTTTATGTTAAACGATGACCAAAGGAAAGTCCACATTTCATGCCTTTTTTTGAATTTGGATCCTCGTCGTTTCGCCCTAAATCCAGTTTGCCCAAGGTTTTAATATAAATAAATGAAATATATATTTTTAAGTGATAAGTATATATTCTGCTGAAATGTTAAAATGATCAAAAAACCTTTGAAATGTTTAAAATGATTATAAATGCTTTTTTATTTTACGTATCGGAAACAATGGTGTTGTCCGAAGAATTTCATGCAGTTGTTGCTATATACATTAATATTGTATGTGCAGACCCAGTCGACCACATAAAAATCTACAAGTCTAAGGACTAAAGGAGACCTATATAGACAAGCTTGAGATTAGACTGTCTTTGCCATATACAACTAAACAGGACTAAAATATTTCGCTCTAACAATACAAACATTTGAGGGCGAAACATTGTTTGGTATTTTCTTTCAATTTTAGTAGTTTTAAGTCACAAATTAAGTCTTCTTAGTCTTCCATTAAATTAGAAATAAATTTTATCAAAAGAAATGTGTTTATGTTGTTTTTAAGCGAATGTGACAGACGGCAGCTGTGAAAAGCTGACTCCGCACTCACACAGTTGCATATTTTTCTACATGAAATATATCTAACAACAATATAAAAAGTTATCATTAAGTTTAGTTGATATATTTAAATATTAATCTCTCCTTCTTTCTCCTTTCTCTGTATTTTTGTAGACAAGCATTAATGGAAGGGCAATATATAGCTAGGAAGATTTCTAGAAATAGGTGAAGGGGTTAAATTTCTATCAGCCAATTGTCAGGGTCTAGGGGACAAATTTAAATGCAAAGATGTATTTGCTTATTTAAGAAGTAAACATTATAACATTTACTGTCTCCAAGACATCCATTTCACAGAGGAAAAGGAAGAATTTATAAGAAATGAATGGGGCTACTCTTGCTTTTTTAACTCTTTTAGGTCAAATGCTAGGGGAGTTGCCATTCTGTTAAATAACAATTTTGAAGTCAAGGTGTTGAATGAGAAAAAAGATAGGTCTGGGAATTTTTTAACATTAAATATGGAAATTGAAGGTACAATTATAACAGTTATAAATATTTATGGTCCAAATATTGACGACCCTACTTTTTTCAATCTCATAGAAGATACATTAGTTGATTTTAAGTCTGAAAAGTGTATAATATGTGGGGATTTCAATCTAATCCTTAAGCCTGAGTTGGATTATGATAAAACATACAAAAAGATAAACAATCCTAAGTCCAGGGAAAAAGTACTAGAAATTATGGAAATTTTTGATTTGATTGATGTCTTTAGAGAGCAACATTCTGAATCCAGAAGGTATACATGGAGGCGGAGCAACCCTGTGAAACAGGCTCGCTTAGATTTTTTTAGTATCTGGAAGCCTCTTACATAGTACTTCTGAAACAAGCATAGAGCCTGATTATAGATCTGATCATTCTTTTCTGAAAATGACCTTAAAATTAACTGATTTCAAAAAAGGTAAGGGGCTATGGAAATTCAACAATTCCTTATTACATGACCAGGATTATTTTAATCTTATCAATAATACAATTACAAACATTAAACTGCAACACTGCCTCCCTGTATACCAACCTGATTATGTAAAAAAATCTCGAAATGGTGATATAGAATTTGTTATCAATGACCAATTATTTTAAGAAACTCTATTGATGGAATTAAGGGAAAAAACCATTTCGTATTCTTCTTATAAAAAACCCAACAGAACTTAAAGGAAGACTGTGTTAAGAAAGCAATAAGATCTCTTGAAGATCAAAGTAATGTAAACATAGACGAACTTAATAAAAAGGAATTGGAAGATATAAGACTACATAAGATTAAGGGAAGTATAATTCGCTCAAAGGCAAAGTGGATTGAAGAAGGAGAAAAACCTTCAAACTATTTTTTCAATTTAGAGAATAGAAATTTTACTTCTAAAATTATTCCAAAATTACAGCTTGATAATGGAAAAATGGTAACAGAACAAGATGATATTTTAAGGGAAGTAAAGTCGTTTTATGAGCAGTTATATAATGTAGATAATGAAGTGGTTGATACAAGTTTAGAAGAATTGTTGAAGAATTGTCATGTTCCAAAATTAAGTGATGTTGATTCAGTTAGTCTTGAAGGAGTTATTACTCTTAAAGAGGCCTCCGCCACTCTAAAAAGTATGAAGAATAATAAAAGTCCGGGGTCTGATGGGTTCACGAAAGAATTTTTTAATTGTTTTTGGAAAGATTTGGGGAACTTTGTTGTTAGGGCTATCAATTATGGATTTATGATCAATCAATTATCTGTTACACAGAGGCAAGGTATAATTACATGTTTGCCTAAGGGTGACAAACCCAGACACTTTATTAAGAACTGGAGACCCATTTCTCTCTTAAATACTGTGTATAAATTAGCCTCAGGATCTATAGCTAATAGAATAAAACCATTTTTGGGAAAATTAATCAACCTTGATCAGACAGGATTTTTATCAGGAAGATACATAGGCGAAAATACCAGACTCATTTATGACATTATGCAATATACTGAAGAAATTAATATCCCTTGCATGCTATTAATGATTGATTTTGAAAAAGCTTTCGATTCTGTTTCTTGGAAATTTATTGATGAAGTTCTCAGGTTTTTTAAATTTCGAAATGGTATGAGGAAATGGATAAAAGTTTTACACATAAAAGCCAGTTCTGCTATAAATCAGGGGGGTGGTATTTGTCTATTTTTTTCGAGATTAAACGCGGTTGTCATCAAGGGGACCCAATCGCACCATATATATTTATACTCTGTGCAGAAATTTTAGCTATTGGAATTAGAAATAACAGAAGTATAAAAGGCATAAATATTGATAATTGTCCAATCCTTCTTTCGCAATATGCAGATGATACTTCCCTTATCTTAGATGGGACAGAATGCTCTCTCAGGGAATCAATTAAGGAACTAAATGTATATAAACAACTTTCAGGTCTTAAAATCAACTTTGATAAAACACAGATTGTATGGATAGGGAGTAAAAAATATAGCGAGGATGTTCTTTTACCTGAACTGAACTTAAACTGGATGGTGGAACATTTCAATCTTTTAGGATTAGAATTCCATGTAGACCTTTTTAAAATAGCTAAACTGAACTACGATAAAAAACTTGTTAAACTCAAATCTCTTATCAAGTGTTGAAGCCGTAGATCTCTTACTCCTTTAGGGAGAATTAGTATAATAAAATCTTTACTTATCTCACAGTTCAATCATCTTTTTATTGCATTACCCAATCCTGATGATGTTTTTATAAAAAAACTTAACTCAGTCCTTTTCAACTTCTTATGGAATAGTAAGACAGATAAAGTTAAGAGAGAGGTAATTGTACAAACTTACATTGAAGGAGGTCAAAAAATGGTTCATGTTAAGAAATATATAGAAGCTCTTAAGCTAGGGTGGATCAGGAGAATCTTTAGCTCACTTGGTAAATGGCTAGGAATTCTGAAAAAAAATGTAGACGTTCAGCTTTTATCTAAATGTGGGAACGATTATCTACACGTAGCAAAAACTAAATGTAAAAATATTTTCTGGGAAGATGTATTTCAGGCTTGGTATAACCTTAGAGTTAAAGAAGAACTTGTTAGAAATATTAATGATGATGCGGAGTTGATACTTAAAACATTGTTGTTAATAACCAACCAATTTTCTACAAAAAATGGTTTGATGCAGGAATGACTTAATAAAAGACAACAGAACTTTTTCCTTTTATAATTTTAATGAATTCTGTACTGTGTTTGGTACAATAACAAATTATTTACAATATTATGGAGTTATCCAAAGTATTAAGAAATACTTGAGGCCTTTTACATCTCCAAGTAGAACATTGACGTTTCCGATTATTCCACTTTATCTTGAGCTAATCCTAAAGAAAAAAAAAGGGTTGCAGGAATTCTACCGTTTACTTGTGAGAAATAATATTAACATAACTGGTCAGCAAAAATTGGGGAATATCTTTGACTAAAATGAAGAGAAATGGATTTTTTTTTACAGTTTTCCTTTTCGATCAACTCAAAATTCTAAACTCCGTTGGCTATACAATTTAAGGTTAAATTAACCACTATATTCTAACAACTTACTCTTATGCACATAAAATCGGCTTATCAAACAATCCTAATTGTAATTTCTGTAATAGAGAAAGGGAGACAATCGTGCATATGTTCTGGGAATGTGATGAGGTTCCGAATTTTCTGGCAAGTTTTGAAAGGTTGTTAAAATTGCACTAACAATTACATTACCTATTAATAAAGAAACATTGTTATTTGGTTTGGTAAATAACACAGGCATTTACAATCGCATTGATAATGAAGTTCTTCTTCTAATCAAATCCTATATCTACAGAACCAGAACTATACATGGTACTCTCTCTGTTATGGCTCTAGCTAATGTAATAAAAGAAAACTATGTGGTTCAAAAATATATTTCATGTGGTAAAAGTGATCCTTGTCTAAAATTTTTTCTAAATGAATGGAAGAAATGGATGAAATTAGTTGATTTTGCTTAAAACCTGACATGATTCAGGCTGATATCTTAATTATTCAATAACAATTCTGTTACTTAACTTTAATTAATATCTAGCTTTATTTTGACTTCCTTCCCTGACATGCTTGTTCTGATATCTGTCTTTCTCTTTTCTTCTTTCTCTTTTTTGTTTTCTTACCAGCTTCTTTTTCTTTCCTTTTATCCTTCCTTCTTCCTTATAGCAATACAGTGTGATATTAAATGAAATAATACCTATCCAGCAGTCTTTAGTGATACAAATTTCTTTTTGCATAATTTGTATGGCAGGAGTGGTGATATGAAAGATGATTGGTGACAAAAAGGTAATCATATGATCTGAATGAATTACTGATCCATTATTATTGTCACTGTATTGAAAAAACATCTTGAATTTTTTTTTTTTTTTTTTTTTTTTAATATTAATTATTATATTAGCATATAAATTAACAAAATATTTTTAGGGCAAAATAACCTAGAGCGAACAGGATTTAGGGCAAAACAACCCTTAGCACGAACAGGATTTAGGGCAAAACAACCTGTTACCTATAGCTATTCAAAGGGCATTTTCTAACATATTTAAATGGTTAGTCAAATTAACATAAATATTATTTTTTGAAATCTGTCTTATATTACCTTTAGAAAAGTTTGTATCAAAATTTCAATACAACAGAACCACAGAGTCCTCCTATTCAACGGTATTTAATTTTAACTTGTGTTATGGCAAATTTTAACCCCTTATCACCATCTTAGGCACGGTAGTCTAGTGGTAGGACGCCGGGCTCGTGACCAAAGGGTTGCAGGTTCGAGTCACGTCACAGCACTGCATTGTATCATTAAACAAGATACTTTACTCTGCTTATTCCAGTCTACTCAGCTGTAAATGAGTATGTGGTTGGGCAGTGCTGGAATTATTGAATGCTGAGCGCCGAATTGGCAGTACTGGCTGTATGCTCCCCAGGGAGTTGAGAAAGATATTGGCTGGTTGCAAAGACCCTATAACCATGGATAATAATTTGTGAACCGCTTTGAGACGACCTATTAAGAACTAGGTTGTGATGAAGCGGTATATAAGAACCTCAAATTATTATTATTATTATCTGTAAGTTATTGTGTATTATTATGCATTGTTACAGGGGACTGAAAGATGCTGATGTGTTTTCTAAGTCTGATCCGATGTGTGTCCTTTCTTCAAAAGATATGAAAACCGGCTCGTATTATGAGGTGAGTTCTTCAATTCATTTTAGATAATAGTATTATTTTTGTGCTAACATGATTGATATATTGTAACTTGAAAAAAAAATGATGCATTTAAATTTGGAACAGGATCAGGATTGAAGGAGAATACATTCATTGTAATAATACATGGTGTTGAGTAATATACTAATCTAGAAAAAAAATAGAACAAATTCTGTGCAGTGGTGATATATGTATTTGCTAAACATGAATTCATACATTTTGTTCTCTACAAATAAGGAAAAGTTGAAAACCAATATCTATTTTACATGATGTATACATTTCATGTATAACGCCCTGTATCAGAAAAAAAATGGTAGCTATACAGTGTAGAAAAGTATCTTGGTAAAGGCAAGCATTGTGATGCATACTTAACTACCGTAAATGAATTAATCTTATAATTTATCAAATATCATCAGATAAGCATGTTGATGAATTTATGTTGGTGCCACCACAATATACGAAATAGAAAATATTATAAAGAAACTTCATTTAGCCTAATCATAATTTGGGGCCATATTTAAAATGAAAAAGCACTAAAATATGATAACCACTAAAATATACACATTAGTAACTAACATTTTGGATGCACATGTACAATCTTAAATGAACTGTTTCAATTCTCTAGGTCAAGGCTTATGGTATCCCATATGGCTACTGAAAGTATTGATAATAAAGACCAGCCGTTAAAATAGTTTGTATTTTGTCCATACTTTAGTTAAACCTATTTAGAATTTTTCCTCCCTTTTATTTAGAAAAAGTTAACAGAAATTAGGATTTTACATGCATGTCAGATTTCATTATTTTGGGATTTTGATTTCAGGTCGGACGGACTGAGATGATCAAGGATACACTGGACCCAGACTTCGTGAAGAAATTCACGATGCAGTACTTCTTTGAAGAATCTCAAAAGTTAAAATTTGAAATGTAAGTGTCCTACATATATTTTACCTACATTACATAGAAGCTTTTTTCTCGACTCACGATCTTTTACTGAATATATAAACATATTTACTTTATTTATAAATACATATTGTAACATTAAACTTTATATTGGACATTTAAATAAAAATATTGGTCATTATAAGTACATGTATTATGGTACATGTGCCACTTTTGTTTGTGAAATTTGAATTTTCTTTCAAACAACAATCAGCTGGCCATGAAACTATTGCCCAATGTTTTTGAATGGTGTTCAATCAATGTTATTTCAATGAAAATACATTTACAAAAAGTTCAGTTTTAATCTTCACAATTGTGATTCTAGTCAGGCAATAAAGAGACTAGTCTGGTAATATAAACCTGCATGCTAAAAAGGATAACTCACCTCTGTCTAATAAGGCAAAATGATGAAAATCTTGTGTTTCCTCTAACGCTACCTACCATAGATTGTTGTGCCTATCCTCAGGTTTTTATTGGCATTTAGTGATAAGCACTCTTAAAGTCAACACTCATGCTCTAAGCAAAGTAGAATTATTTTTCAAAATAGAAAAATAAATGCCTACCTACCCTGTTCTTACTAAGGATGATATCGGAAACACTAGTAATATTTTGTATCATCGGAAACACAAGTAATATTTTGTTTGGCCTATAAGTATAACTTGACACATTCATATTGGTAAGTTGCAACATAGGAGATCACAGCCAAGTTATAAGATCAGGTAGGTTTTCATTTGTAGCGTGCCTATAATATTATATAAATATGACATTCATTAGCAGGTGACAGTGAATATTGTCAACCCGAGAAAACCATTGTCACAATTGGTTTTTGAGGGTTGACAATATTCACTGTCACCTGTGATGCTAATGAATGTCATATGTATTTTGTTACACCAAAAGTCTTTGTAGCTCAGGAACGGCAGCAAACCTCGATAATGACATCTTGTTTGTTGATAGTCTGCTGTTGACAATCGCTATCGCATCGGCGCTTCATAAAATTGGCTGTTGCCGTCAAACGTTCTTGTGACCATCACGTTGGGGAAACGAAGCGGTGAACGCACATTTTTCGCGCATGTGATATTTTTCACTGTCTCATGGCAATATAACCCGCGCCCTTAAAACCAGTGTATTTTCGGAGTGTGCCAGAGATTTTTGTTTAATTTTCTCCCAACCAATCAAATAGCTAGAAATTCACTTGAGGTGTAACAATATTAAATGACAGACCAAGTAGGGTATATATTTACAACCTATGATCATTATTTCTTTTCTGTTAACAGATATGATGTTGATTCTAACACAGCAAGACTGGATGCTCATGTAAGTTGCATGCTGAAATGACATGTTTCTGTATTATACATACAAATGAAATGTTTCTGTATTATACATACAAAATGACATGTATCTGTATTATACATACAAATGACAGGTATCTATATTATACATACAAATGACATGTATCTGTATTATACATACAAATGACATATATCTGTACTATACATACACATGACATGTATCTGTATTATACATACAAATGACAGGTATCTATATTATACATACAAATGCCATGTATCTGTATTATACATACAAATGACAGGTATCTATATTATACATACAAATGCCATGTATCTGTATTATACATACAAATGACATATATCTGTATTATACATACAAATAACATATATCTGTATTATACATACAAATGACATGTAATACAAAATGACATGTATCTGTATTATACATAAAAATGACAGGTATCTATATTATACATACAAATGCCATGTATCTGTATTATACATACAAATGACAGGGATCTATATTATACATACAAATGACATGTATCTGTATTATACATACACATGACATGTATCTTTATTATACATACAAATGTACATGTATCTGTATTATACATACAAATGTACATGTATCTGTATTATACATACAAATGACATATATCTGTACTATACATACACATGACATGTATCTGTATTATACATACAAATGTACATGTATCTGTATTATACATACAAATGACAGGTATCTATATTATACATACAAATGCCATGTATCTGTATTATACATACAAATGACAGGCATCTATATTATACATACAAATGACATGTATCTGTATTATACATACCAATGACATATATCTGTATTATACATACAAATGACATGTAATACAAAATGACATGTATCTGTATTATACATACAAATGACAGGCATCTATATTATACATACAAATGACATGTATCTGTATTATACATACACATGACATGTATCTTTATTATACATACAAATGTACATGTATCTGTATTATACATACAAATGTACATGTATCTGTATTATACATACACATGGCATGTATCTGTACTATACATACAAAAGACATGTATCTGTATTATACATACAAATGACAGGGATCTATATTATACATACAAATGACATGTATCTGTATTATACATACACATGACATGTATCTGTATTATACATACAAATGTACCTGTATCTGTATTATACATACAAATGACATGTTTCTATATTATACATACAAATAAGATGTATCTGTATTATACATACAAATGACATGAATCTGTATTATACATACAAATGACATGTATCTGTATTATACATACCAATGACATATATCTGTATTATACATACAAATGACCTGTTTCTGTATTATACATACAAATGACATGTATCTGTATTATACATACACATGACATGTATCTGTATTATACATACAAATGACATGTATCTGTATTATACATACAATTGACCTGTTTCTGTATTATACATACAAATAAGATGTATCTGTATTATACATACAAATGTACATGTATCTGTATTTTACATACAAATGTACATGTATCTGTATTATACATACAAATGACAT